CAGAACCTTCCTTTTAACTCCCTATTTGTAAGCAGTGCAGTGTTTTCTCTCAATACTGTAAAAATATGTTCAAAATACATAATAAAAATATTTATAAATATTTAAATATATATTGAAAACCTATCAAAATTATTTGAACCAACAGAAAAAGAGCAATTCCAAACCTTGTAAATTTTTTAAAAGCTCTTTCAGGAGGATTTTTTTAGTGATGGAGAGAAAAATGTGCTGTTTTTTAAACTCATATCAATATCCCTCTCCCCATCCAATTATCTATTTTCAGTGCTCTGAACCAGGGTAGTAGGGGCCAGGCTTTGAAGCAGAGCCCCAAAGCATTAGGCTGCTTTCAGAATAAGGCAGGAGGGTTGACCAGGGGACTGTGGCTGAGGGAATCATGCTAATGCCATTAAGATTCCCTGCATTTTTTGCCTTCCTTAGTGAGAGGACGTAAAAATGCAGAGTTGCCCACTTTGAAAAGCCTGTCCATGGTCACTTCTCCCTTGGCACTGCAGGGCTGCTGTTTTTCCCTAAGGCTGCCTCCCCCTGGCCAAACAAGCTCAGTTCTCTCAGCCTCTCCTCATGTGGCCAGAGCTGACACTTCTGCTGGTTCTCCACTGAATTCACTCCAGTTTATCAAAATACTCCTTGTATTTAGGGTCCCAAAGCAGGCCCAGTGTTTTAAGTATGCTCTAATAAATGATGACTAAGGATGGGGGTCAAGATGCTTTCTTGAAACAAGTGGTTCAGTCAGACCACTTTTGTCAACTGATTGAGTGGTTCAGACCACTCAGGCGGAAAGATTTTTGTCTCATAGCTGCAGCAAGTGGTGCTATTTGCAGTGAGCCTTTCCTTTCCTTTTTCCTTTCCTTTCCTTTCCTTTCCTTTCCTTTCCTTTCCTTTCCTTTCCTTTCCTTTCCTTTCCTTCCCTTCCCTTCCCTTCCCTTCCCTTCCCTTCCCTTCTCTTTTTCTTTTCTTTCTGCTTTTGTTGAGGATGTTTTAGTATGTTCTGAGATCACTTCCTCAGCAAATTCCCAGGAAGCAGAAGATGGAAGCCACAGGTGCCTGTCCAAGCCCTGAGGGGACACTCTCAGGTGTGCTCTCAGCAGCACCAAGGGGCTCTGTAGAGCTGTTTCCCTGCCCAGGCTCCCCAGGCTGCTGAGGGGTACCAGAGGGATATGCAGGGAGCTCAGCAGAGGCTTATGGTGAGCATGAACAGCTCTTCCCTGAGCACTTGGGGAGCATTCTTGGTGTTGCAGCCAAGCAAGTGAAAGACCCCCCATTCCAGGAGTGGCCCCACTGACCCAAGGGAGGCTCCGAGAGCTGGAAATTGCAGATTCTCCCAGGTGCCTGGCCTGGGCTGTTGGACAAAGCTGAAAAATGGGGCATTTTGCAGGCCACCAAAGTCTGGTTCTAAGCACCATATGCTTCTCAGACCAAGAAGTTTGGTTTCAGTCTTTTCCTGAGCATTCCAATATAAAGCGCAAAAATCTGATGTTTTTCATTAGAAGATGCCAAGAGCCTAGGTCACATACACCATAAGATTTATATGGAGGCTGTTTTCAGCTATTTCATAAAAGCATATTCCAATGCAATGACTTGTAATCAGCACTAGGACTTCAGGCTGTTTCATTCACTGTGATTTGATTAATACTTTTTTGAGGCAGACTGGCATGATATAGAGTGATTAGACCAAACCTTCCAGCAGTTTTGGAAATCCCAACTCACTCATCTGTGATTTTATCTCATTATGATAGCTGTATAAATTAGATTTTTAAAATAAATTTCCAACTTGATAGTATTAAAATTTCCTTATTTTCCTGTGTAGTATATTTTATAATTTTCTCTTCCTGGCTTCACTGCTTTATATTGCGTTCCATTGTCACAGTGGAATACATGCAGATTAAAAACTGGTTTCCTGTGATAAGAAGGCAAAGAAGGTGTCTGAAGTAACAGCCTAACAAATTACACACCACAATTATTTATTTCATTATTTTGTTGCTTGTGAAATGGCCAGCCATGAAGTACTACCTGCTGCTGAAGGACTGAGATGTATTCCAGAGTTTGGAAGTAATTTTTTGCTTCCCTGTAGAATATTTGGTTTTACACTGCGGCCCAGTACAGATACTGAAAGATGGTTTAGAGGAGTAGACATGTGTCCATGTCCCTAAGTTGGATTGAAATTGGGTGACAATTAAGATGACAAACAAGTGCTGTTTAAATCTCAGGAACAACCAAGCTGAGACTGTAAGTCTTATCCTTCAAAACAATGCTTGATGTGTTTATGTGTTAAAATTTAAGGAAATGCAGGTCAGTGAGGGCTTGAGGAACATCACCAAGCTGTCTGCACTTGCATTTTCTTATGTTCCAGAATGTATAAGAAAAAATAAAAGTTACTGAGTACTTTGTGTGGACATCTACAGTTGGACATCTGTATTTTCTGTATTTTTCTTGGAAGAACTTGAGCCCAGTTGCAGGAGCCTCGAATTCTGGAATTTATGACATGTTGTGTTTTCAGGAAGCATTTTCTTTGAAAAATCTAACTGCCTAATGGATTAATTACACTGGCTACACATTATTGTGCTCTTTGTGGTGTAATGCCCCAAAATGTTTTGGTTTGGTCTGTCAAAGTGCCCCTGCTTGAGTTAAACATGAGGGTTACTCGCTCATTGGGGTGCACATGGGGTGCACGTTCAGGGTTGCAAAACAGAAACTGGGTGGAACAGTTCTCCACAAAGTGCCAGGTATTCATCCTGTAGGTTTGGCCATGCAAGGTCTCCCAAAACAAGGTTTTGTTTTCTTTGAAATGTCAGCTGCATGAGGCTGTGATGGATGCATCAAATGCTGATGAGGTCAGGGGCTTGGCAAGCTCTTTTTCCTTGGAAGGCAGGGCTGCACAATACTGTTGGTGGCTGGAGTTTGTTCAATAACGTTTTCAGTCTTCCAATTTATTTACTTTCAATTTTGGTTTCAGTTCATTTAACCTTCAGAAAACATTTGTGCTGTCTGCTGCTTACAAAAGGAAGGCTCCCCCCAGCAGCCCCTTGCTGCATTTATCTCTTGCTGTGGAGCTACAATGTCTGCAGTAATAAATGTATCCGTTTGAAATGGATGTAATTAAGTTCTTGTTGAAATGTCTTCTGGAACAAAACATTAGCTTTTGCTTTCAAAGGGGAGATATTGCCCAGATAGCACTTCACCTGGCCAAGGACAAATGTTATGGTTAAACATCACTTTCTGCTTGCTTCTGTGAAACAGCAAGCATATCTGCAATATCTGCATTCAAGCACTTCCATTTCTTAATGCACCAAAACAAGGATCTCCCCAGAACTGAAAGCACCGCTGTTGTAACTATTATTTTGTTTTTAAAACAGCCCTCTCATCCTACCAGTTTGCTGTGATTTATTCCTTTGAACTTTTAAATTGAAAGATACAACAACAGAAAAAAATTAATTGGGCAGACATTTATATTTGCACACCAGACTTCTGTCTCTAGAGGCATGGGTTCATCCAGCTGTACATTTGTAAACTAAAGCTGGATTTGGCCATCCTGCAGTAGTCCCTGGTTGTCCAGCTCAGAAATTCATATGTGATTTGACACTAATTTTGTCATCTTGAAAGTATGTTGTAACTGTGGCTGTTGCTTTTCAAGCTGGTGAATGTCAGGGAAATCAAAAATCCTCATTTTCCCACCACCTGGGAAAAAGCTCAAGGCCCAAAGATGAAGGGTGGACAAGAGGTGAGTTCCCTGCCCAAACCTGTAGATTGCTGGTCCCTCTGTGTTGCACAGGGCACGGCCCAGGTCCTTTTAGCACTGTCAAGGTCCTGGCAGGTTGCACAGGACTTTCTAAGTACTGATGGGATAAGTTAATAATGGCAATCATCAGTCCAGTGACTAAGAGCTGTACATTTTCTTAATCTGCATCGAATAGGAATGCTCAGTAACTATGCCGGTACATCCTCTGTGTATTTTACATGAAGTGTTCTGTTTTCAACACTATATACAAGCATTAAGAAACTAATATTATTGTCTTGGTTTGAAAAGACAGATGTCTGCTAAGGAAGGCAGGAGCCTCCCCTGAAATGGAAAATGTAACTCTCTCTGAATAATTATAATTTTGAAATTAAGGGGCTCTCAGGCAAAGATATGGGATTAGGAATAACAGTTCTTTATTAGGGAAAAAAAAAAAAAAGCAGTAGTACAAAACAACAATGCCAGAGTCAGAGCAGTCCCTGCCCCCTGTGTGCCAGGGCGGTGTCCCAGCCCCATGCCATGGGGGCTCAGCCCTCCTGCAGTGCCAGCTGTGGCTCTGCTGCAGCAGGGATCCTGCACAAGGGGGGAGTTTTCCTCTGCAGCTCCAGGGCTGCTGCAGATGGGCCTGGGCTCCCTCTGGCCATGCAGGGCAGCAGAAAGCTGCTCCTCTGGCAATGCAGGGGGCAAAGGCTGCTGTGCTGTGCCAGGCTCAGATTGGATCCAGGTAGGAATGCTTGGCTCCTCCCCTGGGCGGAGCATCTCCCCATGGGATGCTGGGATTGGATCAGCCCTGCAGGGACACTCAGTGGCCATGGACAGCAGAGATCTCCTGGAGGGAGGGTTGGCTGGGGGAGAGATAAAGGAAACTGCCCAATGAACAGAAGATAACTGCCCCACCTCTAACCAATGGCAATAGAATACACAACCCCAGCCACATCTTGCATTTGTAACCTAAGATAATTATGTATTAGGAAATGTGGAAATACAGATGAAATACCAAATTGCCTGATTTTTCTATTTTCTATCCATGTCTTGTTTCAGAGTGTGTTTTAAGAAGCCTCTATTTATCACATATATTTTGTGAATATATATTTTTCCAAGAGTATTTATCAACATCATTAATGTTGGAGACATAGAAATTACAGTAACATTATTTCCTATAACTGAAATTTGGAAACACAATTTGAAAACCACATGGGATATAACAATCAGCCACTGTAAGAGCTGACTAATACCTTGCTGTGTCTCCCAGATCTGTGACAAGGAGTGGCACTACTACGTGGTCAACGTGGAGTTCCCCGTGGTGACGCTGTACATGGACGGGACGACGTACGAGCCGTACCTGGTGACCAACGACTGGCCCATCCACCCCTCCCACATTGCCATGCAGCTCACAGTGGGGGCCTGCTGGCAAGGTAAAATCACACCAGAAAACAGGCAACACTACCAGGAGTTCAGGCCAATAAAGAATCTTGCCTGTGTTGCTGGTTGTATAGGAAATAAACTGCTAAGAGATTGATGGTTTAAAATCAGGTGTAAATCCAGAGTTGTTAATGAATCAAGTCCAAGGATAAAATGGGCAGGACATTAACAGGCTTTGCATTTTCATCACCTGAAGAAGTATTGGATACAGTTTGTCTATTCAGTGTGAAAGATTGTCTTCTTTATCTTTTGTGCTCCTTTTAATTGTTTCCCTTGTTTTTCCGCCTTAAGTGAACTATCTAGGTACTAAAGAGCTCCAGCTATCTCTTTTCAGTCCCTGCCTCAGATTTCTTTTACAACTCCTGGCCCAGTCCTGGGCCCTTCACATTGGATGTATCTCACCAGCAATTCCAGGAATTTACTTGATTGACCCTGTTGTACACCAGAGGTAAAAGTGAGAGTAAAATAAATCCAGAAGTCCAAACCCCTGAGCCATATGGGCTTTTGCTTAAATATTACCTCTCTCTGTTTTCTACCCTTTATAATCCAATTCTTCTCATTCTCTTTACCTGATCCTTGCACCACTTTCTTTCTCTGTTCTCTGCCTTGTACCTGAAGCGCTCCTTTTTCTCTGCTGCTCTGTTTTTGTAAAGTTGCCTCCATTACCCTTCCATGTTGATTTTCAATTTACACTGTCTTTTTTCCACTTAAAGTATGAATTGAAGGAAATTATAATTAGGAAAAATGCTTTAACATAGATTCTGTCTCTTCCCCACTCTTTCATGTAGTCTCACTTTCTCCATTATCACCTTGTTTACCAATTTGATCTCTGCTTATTTGCAAAATTTGGACATCTTACTCATGGCAGGGCTGTTCAGTGTTAATAGTACTCGAAGCAAATTCAGCTGTTAGATTATGAGTGGGGTAGAGATCCAATCTCTACTTTGAGGAAAACATGCAGAATGAAGCTGCACTAACCTTAAAAACAAAATTTCATAAGTTGACAATATTGATAATTATTGTAGTTGTGATAAGCTGGTCGGCATTGCACTAATCCCATATACTGGGGAAAGTACAGACTGTTTCTTGTCTAGCTGGTGTTTGTATGTGTTGCTTTTTTTGTTATGCAATATTGGTGCAGTATTTTTAGATCAAAGTTCCAGAGTTAGAAAATGCAAATGTAATTTGTAAATTTAGTTCTTTCGAGACATGAGCAAATGCCATAGAGGCTGTGAATAATACTCAAATTGGGAAGATAAGGAATTAAGGCAAAACTGCTCATGTAGGCTCCCAATACATTCAGGCCAGGGACTATATTTCATATTTAAGCTGTTAAAAATAAAAAGTGGAAATTGTTTTCAAACATTTTTTTTTTGCCTGGGATAATTTGATGGCTTAATTAATAACCATTCAGGATAAGATTCTTCTTCTCTTTTGGTGGAACACCTAATTTAAACTACTGAAATCATATGTATAGCTGCCATTAGTATTTACTGTAATATTGTTATTGCTCTTTTCATAGTGACAGAATATGAGTTCCTCAAAAGTGGAAAAAAATTTTCCACCTAATGAAAATGCTAAGATTTAGTAATGCAGTGTGCTGAAGATTCTGATAAACTATCATGGGTGAGGCAAGAAGATAAATTTCTAATGGTCATGTGAAACAAGATTTCAAGATACTGCTTTTGACAAATCTTATCATTTGGTACATTTGTTTTGATCACCTCAAACTATTTTACATGAATGGTGTGGAAAGCCACTTTGTTAATAAGATTCAGCACTGTATTTCAGTCTGTGAAAGAGTAATTAATAAACATAGAAAATCTATTCTAGTCAAATCTATTATAGTCAAATCTATTATAGTCAAATAATTCTAGTCAAAACAATCCATTCTAGTCAAAACAATAATTTTCAAAGTTTATATATTTCAAGAAAAAGGGGCTCAATGAAATAAATATTTTGACTATAAATACTTTCTGTGAAATTTTTATTAAGTCTACTTAGGCTTATACATTTTAGCCAGTAACAATAGTCTAAACCTCTACATTTTCACAACATTATAAAGCTGCTTTACAGCATTCTGTGGTTTATTTCAGTAAAAAAATATGGTGATTTTGGTGTCATAAGCCATTCAGGAGTCTCCTTGTTAAGAGGATATGAAGAATTTCCAGCTCTGGTTTGCTAAGACTACTTCCTTTCTTTTCATTAAAGCACTGACAGAAAGGAACACTGGTCTAACCTCTTCCTTCAGAAAGGGCAAGATCTTCTTTCCTGTCTTTACTAAACCACTTTACAGTTCTGAGTACACAGCATCCATTTGTCAAAGTCAAATTATTTGAAAACTCAGACAAGTAAATGCATCAGAAGAAATAATATTCCTTTTTTTCCCCACACTGACTCTGATTTGCTGACAGCCAAAAGTCATTGAGGCTGTGGGGCAGCTGAAAGACTGGCAGGGAGCAGGAGCAGTGCATTTAGAGGACAGTGAAAAATCAAGAACAAAAATGGCAATTTACTTTGTTAGCACTAATAGGAAAATCTGCTACTGCTATGGGGCATTTACCCTCTTGTAGATGAAAATGTTCAGTTCTGGTCTGGAAACTGGGAATTGTTCTCTGCTGCTTCTTTAGGAGCCTGAGTGTGCTCTGGGATGTGACTGACTCTTTGATCTTTCCATCACTTACACTGTTCCTCATCCTGGGACTCTGCAGCAAGCACCATGCCTGCACCTCCTCCTTGTCTTTCTCAGAGTTATAGCCTGAAGGAATCTTGGACATGTAAAATTCTATTATTGCCTATTACTAATATTCCAATGCCTGAGTAACTGTTTTCTGACTTTTATAGGCTTGTTTATAGCATCCATTATAAAAAGTTAGGTTGTTTTTTATTTCTACCTTCAGCTTCTCAAGTGAAATATAAGAGCAGTTTAAGATCAGTGCTGTTCTCCTGACCATAACATGAAAACAAACTGAATGTGCAATTCCTCAGGCTTATGTGACAAATTCAAACTTTAGCCTATGGTTTGCTCACTTGGCTTGTCTGTGGCATAAGCAAATCTCTCCTACATCTTTACCCTTTCCCTGGCAGTGTAAAAATTTTGCCTTTTTCATTTGTTCCTGATTTTATGCAAAAATTCTTTAAATAATGTGAGTTGTGTGCTAGAGCTCTCCAAAAAGTAGGGAAAACTGTCCTTTTCCTGAAGGGCATATTCTTGGAGACAAGCAGGGAGTGAAGATGGTTGAAAAAGCAGAAAGCCAGCCTCTAAAAGTGATGGAAAAGACCCTTCCTAGGGTCTGTCAGGCACTGGGTCAAGTTTACTGCAGTCCAGGAAATGGCCCAATTACTTAAAACCAAGCCTAGGGAATGGTTCCCAGCTCTAATGACACTCTGCACATGAGGAAAGCTGCATGATTTGTTCTGGCATAGTCAATATGAACTTTACTAAAAATTAGGTATACTGTATGTTGCTGTGGTATAATTTTCCTTTTTTAATCTAAAACCTTTGGTTTTTTCTTCAAGGATCTTACTAAACAGAAGATCTAAGCAGATTTACTCATTGATTTAGGGTCCTTCACAATGGTTAGCCTAGAGTGAATTCTTTTTTGTGCAGTTGATGCGCAGTACTGCTATACTTGAGTGGGGGTGGTTTATTTGAGGGTAGGAGTTTAAGCATTATCTTTAGGCTAAAGTGTTGATGTTGGTTTGGTAACCACAGTGAAGTGCCAGCCTTCATGCATGGCAAATCCCAACTTATTCCTTAGCTGGGATTTCAGTGCTGTGAGACCTGGGAAAAGGTAAGGCTGACCACAAAGCTGAGCAAACTGGGCTCCTGGTGAGGGCAGAAATAACTGGAATTAGCCCTTTCTGTACCCTCATGAAGTTTGACAGCTTTCTCTGCAGGTACATATGGTTAATTCTATAACTTAATCTTCACATCTTTAAAATTTTGTTCACATCGCTGGTCTAGTGATGATTGTCAAGGGTGTGATTTTGATGGAGGTCAGGTTATTTAAGGCCAAAGTGCTGCTCTTTCTCTATTGGTGAAAGAAATTTTCAGGCAGAATTACTCTCTCAGCATATCTAAAGGACAAAATTGACTTGCTTGCACATCTTCCTCCCAGAGCAAAAGAGACACCAAAGAGAACAGGAGGGAGGTGGCCCTGTCTCTGAACTGCTTCTTCCCTGAATGGGTATCAAAGCAGACATGGTCCATTGGGAGCTCCCCAAGGTTCTCATTACTACACTTTTTATTCTTTAGCATAAAAATACTTTAAGATTTGCCCGCTTACCTTAAGAGTCTCAAGATCTTTTCAAATAATAAAAAGGTGCAGCAAGGCAGGAGAGTCACCCATACTCTGTGGGAATAAAGGGCAGTAGATGATTTTTCTATGGGTCGCTTGAAAAAATCTGCATCACAGCAAGAATAGAATCAGAATTCATGATCTTCTGTTCTTATTCTCCCTTTTAGGTTTTAACATCCTATTTAATTCTCCTGAGCAAGGCAAATTGTTAGCCTGTCCTGGAGCACACTTTACAAGAGCTCACCCCATGAAGTTCTCCTCTGAGTTCATTATTTCTGATTCAGTTTATCTGAGGACATAGCAAATGGACCCTTTTACAGAGTGACAAACTTCTTCCATTAAACCAAGATTTATAGGTTCCCACTCTGATCCCTTTATTGCTATACATTCAGGGGCAAAAGCAGACAGAGCAAGGAAGCAAGTTTATGTGATTTGGTAGTCTGATAATTTTTATACCAGGGGCAGAAGACAGACTTCCTCATGGTTTCTCTGAAAAGATAAGGTCCTGAGTTCATACCAGGCATTTTGGGAGGCAAGGAGTTTGTGAATGGCTCTTAAAGGTCTGTCAGGAAAGAAGGGACACAAGTGAATTACTTGTCACAAGGTTATGCTGTAGCTTACCATAGCTGTAATTCACTGTTTCTATCAGTGCCACCCTTCAGCAGTGCTAGAGCCTCACAGTGTAATCCTGC